TATTTCATGACAATATATTAATCTTAATGATTCATACAGATATTCTATAATCTCACTGGGAAATCAATTCGCTAATGTATCTGACGTTGCAACGTTGAAGTTTACGGAATGGGTTGGCGGTGTGGTAAGTAGAAAGTACAAAATGTTAAAACATATTGAATATGTTCTGATTGTATAATTAATTTTGTTAGGTTATTGATTTGCTCGACTGGACAATATGCTACGATTCGAAAAAGTCACTCCGGAAGATTGACTACCTTCCATACCACTTAACGGTGAGTTAAATTAATAAATGTTGAAAAGTAGTGTTATAGACGGTAAATTAATAATGATTGTTGTGTAATTGCAACAACAGGCGTTGTATGCCAACAACAAAGTAAATGTTGAAGGTATTGCTATCTCTTGGGGTCTCATATTGGGTAACTATGTGAAATTCACCGACTATGAGAAGGTAAAACACCATATGAATTGCAAATGATGTTTTCAGATATAGAATGTTGAATTTTATCAAATTGGGTGTGAAATTTGTCGCAGATCATGATCACAATAAACTACAATAATTCACATTGGTATCTGTTGGTGTTGGATATGGTAGATCGTGTTGCAACAATATATGATAGTTTGTTTACATCTGAAGCAGCTAAACAGAGATTGAATGATGCTAAGAGATTGGTATGTATGAAAGGAAATTATGTAAATTATAATGCATAATTTGTTTGGATCATAAATTCATATTTTTTAATGCAGATGAAAATATTAGATAGTTATAATAAGAAACGCAATTGGGTAGAAACATGTGGATCTCTAGGAAAGTTCCCCTTGAAAAACTTCAAATTTGTGGAGCATAAGATGAATGAGCAAGTGAATGGGTATGAGATGTTATCATAAATAAAAAGCTTAATTTATACAGGTTTCATAATTGACATGTGCATGTATGTGATGATGCGGATGGAATCGATCAGTTCTATAGGGGCAACTGGTGATTTTGTTAGTGGAATTAAAAATTCGTTTGCGGTTAAATTGTTAAAAGTCATAGATTGAATGTTGTGGTTTACAATACTTAACGTACTGACAATTTGAATATAGGTTGTTGGACAGTAAAATCGATCGCGAATATTAAATGATCTCGTAAGCCACAATCAAAATCAACTAAGAGAGGAGATCACAAAAGTTGTCATGAGACACAAGAATAACAAAAGGAAGCGATGATGTAAATGTAGGGTTAATTTTGTATAAGATTTATAATTTTGTATGTAAATGTAATTATGAATGAGATGAGAAAAGTTAGCAGTAGATTGTTGTACATGTTTCTTATACAAAGTAAGAGTCATATTGATACTTACGATATATAGAGATCGTTGTCTGCATTATTCCAAATGTCATCATAATTGTCATCATGTGTGGCACTGAATGACCATTTCATATTGAGGGTATGTACAATAACTACAAAATTCAATAACTTTTAAGTAAAAGGTAAATTTACAATGTAGGTGGTAAAAATAGACTTTTTTAATGACAAAATTAATAAACACAAAGATTTGTTTCCAACATTTTGTCCAGTATGGTTCCCAAACGTAAAGTTTTCAAACGTAAAGTTTCCAAAAAATAAGTAAGCAGATGTGTCGATACATTTATAAAAAGTATCGACCTCAAAAACATCGAAACCCATAATTATAATATAATAGGTAATTTTGTATTTATGTGAGAATAGGTCTACATAATGTATCGACACTTTTGAAATTGGTGTCGATACTTTTTGTCCAAAATGAATGCCCAAAATGGTGAACGCATAAAGTGTCGATACATTTATAAAAAGTATCGATCCCAGAAACATCGAAATCTATAATTATAATGTAATAGATAAATTTACAATGTAACCGATATAACTATACCAGTTTTATGAGAGAATAGGTCTAGAAAATGTACTGACACTTGTGTATTTTGTGTCGATACTTTTTGTCCAGAAGGAATACCCAAAAAGGATGCACCCATAAAGTGTCGATATATTTTTAAAAAGTGTCGATCCCAGAGACATCGAAACTCATAATTATAATGTAATAGGTAATTTTGTAATATAACCGGTATAAATATACCGGTTTTATGTGAGAATAGATCTACATAATGTATCGACACTTTTTAATTTTGTGTCGATACATTTTGTCCAGAATGAATGCCCAAAAAATGGTGCACGCATAAAGTGTCGATACATTTATAAAAAGTATCAATCCCAGAAACATCGAAACCCATAATTATAATATAATAGGTAATTTTTCAACGTAACCGGTATAAATATACCGGTTTTATGAGAGAATAGGTTTAGAAAATGTATCGACACTTGTGTACTTTTTGTCCAGAAGGAATGCCCAAAAAGGATGTACCCATAAAGTGTCGATACATTTTTAAAAAGATTCGATCCCAAAAACATAGAAATATATAATTATAATGTAGTAGGTAAATTTTAATGTAACTGGTATAAATATACCGATTTTATGAGAGAATAGGTCTAGAAAATGTATCGACACTTGTGTATTTTGTGTCGATACTTTTTGTCCAGAACCCATAAAGTGTCGATCCCAAAAACATCGAAACCCATAATTATAATGTAATAGGTAATTTTGTAATATAACCGGTATAAATATAACAGTTTTATGAGAAAATAGGTCAGCATAAAGTATCGACAATTGTTAAATTTGTGTCGATACCATTTTAAATATCGCGTGTTTCTCCCCTTCATTATTTATAGATTATAATTGATACAAACTCTAAATCGATAAATCCTAAATCTAAAGGCATAAGAGAACTCTTCCTCTCCGATGAATACCAGCGTTCTTATAACAATGACGATAAGATATTCAGGTAAATTTATCGATATTTTATGGGTTTAATTGATTTCCAGATTAGAGTTTTTTCGTTTGTGTTCCAATGTTATAAGGATCTTCGAAGTAGCCTCAGGTCTCAGCCTAAATTTACAAAAGTCTAAGCTATATGGGGTCAACGTGGGTGAACAAAATGTTAGTGATTTGGCAGACTTAGTAAAATGTTCTTGGGATAAATTCCCAACAACGTACGTCGGTCTTCCCCTGGGTCATTCTAGAAATTCCACCGGCCTGTGGAAACCCATTGAAGAGAAACTGGTTGCTCGATTGGAAGGCTGGAAAAGTAAGATGCTCTCTTTCGGTGTCCGGATAACGATGGTCAAATCTGTTCTGGCTAATTTACCAGTATATTATCTCTCTGTTCCAGATGCCCGCTGTTGTAGCATCCAAAATGAACAGAATCATTGCGATTTTTTTATGGGGCTCTGCGGCTAGTCGTCCCATTCATTGGGTGAAATGGTAGGTTGTTTTCCGGCCGAGAGATATGGGTGGTTTGGGTTTTTTTATCTAAGGCTGAAGAACCGTGCATTGCTGAATAAACGTATTTGGAGGTTTGGGGTTGAACCGGTTCAACTATGGAGGAGAATGCTAAATGCAAAGTATGGTTTCCAAAGTTGTTCCCTTCTACCAAAATCGTTGCAAGATAAGAAATCCTCCTGGTAGTGGAAAAACTTCACCAAATCTCTTCTTAATCGTGAGGACTCTTCCGTCAAAAATATAAGGTTCGTGGTGGGAGATGGTAAGTTCATTGAATTTTGGGAGGATTGGTGGACAGAAGTTCTGTCGCTAAGAGTAGCGTTTCCAAGGATCTTTAACGTTACACTAAAAAAGATCGGAAATGTTGTGGATTTTGGTGTTCTGGAAACTTGGGATATGGGAGAATTTCATGTCCATAATTAATAAAGCATCTCAAAATTCTGCGAGGTTTGATCAACTCAAGTGGATTGAGTCTTCGACTGGTATTTATGAGTCCAAAAGCTACTGCTCCTTAGTCTCTAAGGCAGGGGGATGTGAGGACTCTATGTGGAGGTATGTTTGGGCCAATCTAGCTCCACCAAAGTTAGAAGCTTTCGTCTGGAAATTGGTATATAATAGAATCCCCACTTTGGTAGAACTTGCGAAGAAAGGAGTATCGAGTTCTGGTCAATCCATGTGCATTTTTTGTAAAAAAGATCCAGAATATGTCTGTCATCTATTTTGTCACTGCGATGTTGTGTGGAGACTTTGGCAGAGATGGTGTCGGTTATGAAAGGTCTGCTTGGTTGTCCCTGAAAATGTTATAAGCATGATCATTTGCTGGAATGAGTTGAAAATCAAGTCGGCCATCAAACCAGTGTGGAGATCATATGTTTGATATGTCTCTATTAAGGATTGGTTTTTGGAGCAAATGCAAATGGCCTCATTCGTTTTGTTGTGGTTGAATTTTTGTTTATGCTGCATCTAGTTTGAGGGCTCTCCTGGTTGGTAGGGGGATTGATTTTATCGTAAAATGTTGTCTATGATTTGGCAGTTTTCTATTCGTGCCCGGAGGAGCTGCAGTCTTTGTTTCCTGTTATGGTGGATTTTGATGTTGTCTTCTGGTTTGTTTTGTAGCTGTTGTTTGTGCTACTTAATTTTACCTAAGTCGTGTATGTGCGTTGCTGCACTATTTTGACTCTCTTGTGCATGATGGAATTCGTTGTAAGGTAGTTGTGGGTGGATAGCCGAAGGATAGTATAATGGACTATTTTTGTATTTCTATCGACTTCGATCGGGTGCATTTTTTTTTCTCCACTTAGGATTAGGGAGGTTTTTTAATGAGACTCTTTTTGAATGTCTTTGTGCTTGTATATTTCCTTACTAATATTCAAACTCTTTATCCCCATTTTCAAAAAAATATATATTTTAATTGTGTAAAAACAAAATTTAAAAATCAAAAGCTTTTTGAATTAGAAAATAATAATAAATTACCAATCAAACCAATATGTGAGTTGAATGCAGAGATTATATTATTGAAGTTTTGATAGTGTGAATGAAGCTAGGCAGTGATCATCCTCCTTGAATTTAAGGGTAATCCCAATATTCATGCCCTGCTCATAATCCAATTTAACCTGTAAATAACAAAAAGGCAACAAATGCTGACAAAAGTAGAGAAAAATATAGCAATCTTATACTGTATGTTTTTACATTAATAGTCATACTATGATTACAGACAGTACAAAGCTAGAAGATAACAAGGTTTAATCAATCAGTTTTTTAGACATTAATTTTAAAAAAATCAAGGCCATTCAGATGGATGCAATAAACACGTTTCTTACATATTTATTACCTTTCATCAGTCTTGACAGGATCATTAACCAAGTCCTGGATCTCCTTCTTGCTCTTTACCACACTCCATTTCCTGTTATGAAAATCAAGTTTGTCCAAGTCCTCTGAAATTGCCATATAACCATAAAGAAGCTGCTCCTCCAGATTGTCACCCATTTCCTCATTGCTATGTTCGCCATTATTTTTTGATGTAAATTCAATTCTCCCGTGCTTGTTCTCCACAAAATATTTGTGAAGTCTCTCTGCCGTTGCCAGTCCGGTAAACGTGCCCAAGAATTTCACCACCATAATACTTTGGTCTGCAGGTCTCCCTAGGCACACGGTGATTTTCCCCCCAACAAAGCCTTTATCTGTCATCATTCAAGAACCAATAAGAGGGGGGGAAAATAACAAAAAAAAAAAGCAAAATCCAGGAAAAGTAGGAAAAAAAGATCAGTCTCCTCTTCTAGTCAAAGAAAGTCTTTCATATTCACCAGCAAGTAAAAAGCTTTTAAAATTATGATTATTCCATTTACTCGTAGTGCATATCCACAGCCAATTCAACTCAAACATTCATCCTTTCTTATTCAATTTTGTTCATCAATTTTGTTTGTTGATATATTAGCAGGCATCAAACATCCATCTTTCCTGTTGCACTCTTGGAACAATTCGAACTAAATACATTAATCTGTTTGCTAAACAAATTATCATGCAAATTTGAGAGCCAAGTACTTACTTCTCAGAAAAGCCTGCACCCCTTCAATAGGAAAAACCTTCTGTTCTTGAGGATTGTTATTTCCCATGGAAATATTGTGGATGACAACCATTGGAGGCCAGAGAACCAAATCCTCCTTCTGAGCCAAGGCCTCTGCTTCAGGCAAGACCTGGGGAACCCATGTTATAGTGTCAGGAGGTGCAATGCTGTCCCACCCCAACAACACACATATTGCTTTGTGAAGACCTAAGTGCTCTGCCCTCAGCCCCACCTTGTGAGACATGAAAGCATGGGTCACCAGGCGTTGGGTGTCCATGAATTCCTTCGAATAGCTGTAAAAGGTAAGATGTAAGAATAAAAGACAGAGAGACGAAGAATCATCATTCATCAATGGTAATAAGTTTAAAAAACGAGAAAATGATTCGAATGGGGCATTAGATAAAGGAAACAATCAGTATCCAATCAGATCAGAGGAAACGAAATCAAAATCAAGAACATTAAAGTAACATCCAGTTCCCATCCATTGTATCTCAAACCATTTTTTCTGCAGTCACTAGAAATATAGTAAATGATGTTCCAAAACCTAAACTCACCTTTTACTTGGGTCAAAAAGTGACCTACCTTCAAATACGTTACGTTTTTAACCCAGGTTCAACAATAAGCTGAGGGGTATATTTGGACCTATCAAATCTAACCCAACCTAAAAAATAACGAAATTAACCTCAATCAGGAACCTGATTTGACCATAAAAAATCAACAACCAACAAAGCCAAACTCGAAAATTACCCAAACAATTAACCTGAAATCATCTGAACTTTTGTATCAAACTTGAATGACAAAACCGAAAATGAACCAACCTGAAAATCCTGACAATCAAAACCCAAAATGACCATAACCTAAAAGTGGCCTAAATCAGAAATAACCCGAACCAAAAGATGAAAATTTTCCTAATATGTAGAGGACCATATTATTAGCAAATGAAGACTGAAAACAACCTAGTATATCTGTAATCAAGCAAAGCAACATGTTTTTCTTGAACCAATTATATTATTTGCATTTGCAAATGGATTTACTGACAAAAAAAGACTTCAAATAAAAAAAAATCAACAAACACATACTTAAATGGAGTGGGTGAGGGAGAGACAGATTTTATCAGATATCAATATTTAGCAAGCTACAAGACATTGCTGTTTAAAATCATGAAAAACAAAATAATACACATTTTTTACAAAGTTCTTTACAGAACATAGGTGATGTCTAACATAATACAGACCACTCAGATTTATCTCTTTGTTTTGCTCATCGGCACCATCATTTAGACCTGCTCCAACATGGATCCCTCCATTAAAAGCAAGTAGCAGCATAATTGACTGGCAGGAGCTCACTATAATCCTATCTGCCACAGACAAATGAATTACCACTCAATTGGTCACTCAAATTGCCTATTAAATCCTTATCTAATAGGTCGTACATTCAGATTACCGAAGTCCCTCTAGCAGACATAAGGGTACTAACCTTGCTCCTTAATGACATCCAAGGATTCTGAAAGAGCAAGAACTAAGTGCTCAAACCAAATATTTTAGGAAAACAAGCAGCTTTTTCTCACAAATAAGTAATGAGCAAAGAATGCAATAAGTTCTATCCAATATCCACAATGAAGCTGAGAAGTTCTCCATATTAGCACACTTAAAAGAATCCTCAGACTTCTTAAAAGTTCTCCAGTTGAAATAAAAAATCAACCAACTTTCGCGGTTAGCTCTCTTATAGGTTACACAGAAATGTCATCTAAACCAGGAAATTTCAAACCTCACTGAATGAAGCTTAAATTGATAAAACTGGATGCCCAGATCCCATCAACAGCAATCCAGCCCTTTCTGCATTCTTTGGCCCCAAATGCTGAAACCCAGTTAGTTCACAAAAGCATTTACCCATATCTAAGGTTGCCCGGTATCAACATATTCATATGCTCAGCATTCACCAGCTGGTACCCTATAAATTATTACATTAAACTTGCAAATTGCTAATATAGAACATCATTTCTCAGGCTACTAGTCTATTTCTTCTCAGAAGCAAACAAATCGAATTAAACCCTTAAATAAAGTTGTTATGACCAGCCATCATAGTACGTCTAGTTACCATGTAAGGAACAAACTGTATCGCCAGAAGAAAAAAACACTTATTATAATTGCTTAAATAACTAAAAAACAGTTACGATTTTGCTAGTTTCCAAAATATTCAAATGGCCATAAAAACATCCTAGGAAGACCAACTGACAGAACCTTTAGGGCTAAAATCGTCATTCAAAAAACGAATTAAATGAAAATATATGCATCTCTTCATAATGCATGTCATAGAAAAGAAAAACGGACCTTCTACCACAAACAATGCAGAACAAACTACCAGCATGTCCTTGCTCCTTGTATCTTTTACGAACACTCTGGTTCAAGTTTAATCTTCTAGAGTACTTTAAGAATGCTTCACGTACCAATTGCTTAAATTCTTCTGAATCCTCAGACAGCTCAGCCTCTGCATGATTCACTAAATCTGCAGTCATATCACCATCATTTGCATTTATATCCTCATCATAATCTTCATTTCTCTTGCAAACTTCGTTTTGTTTATGAAGGTTACTTCTTTTTTCATTGTGATGTGAAGTATGCCAGCTAAGAGAACCAGGTTCATGATTTCCCTTGATATATTTACCACTATCTTTGTAAAACCTGATTGGAACTCTTTGTGAATGTGCCAAAGTATCTTCGGACGTATACCAGTCATCCAATTCAGAATCACCATGAAGTTCTGGCCCATCATATGTCCTTCCAGGCTTTCTATATTCATTGTGGCCATACTGTTTTGTCCTAGATACATGTAAACCAATTATATCTTCATCAATCTGCTCATCACAATCATATGAACCTCCAAAGTCGCCAGCTGAGTGCATTGTTCTGGATACATTAGTTTTAGAACTTGGCCTACCAACATCTTCCATCATAAGGAACTTCCTTTTAAGAATCCTATCTGAGTACCCGACAAGTTCGTTCTCCATCCTCTTTGTTCTTAGACAAGGGCTGCATTGCTCTGTGTCATATTTAGATGCAGAAGAGTTAACAACTCTTTCATTTTGAAACACTGGACCTACTCCTCTGCCAAAACCAGAATCAGATCTTGAATTTGATAATTGACGATTGTGATATGCATCCAAATGTGACAATTCATAGTCTTGAGGTAGTCTTCTTCCAAATGCAACATGGGTGTCTTCCGAACACACATATTCCCTGTCTCGCATTGGTGCATATGATCTGCACATATCAATGTAGTCTGTACTCATCTGATTTTGCAAAGCGCAATCATTCCATATAATGCCCTTTCTCGAACTTCCATAAGAATGATCTGTATTATCAATTTTGTCTATAACATGGTGCAAAACATTTCGTTTCGGCATGTCTATATGACCGTAATCAACCGATGCATGTTCATAGAAAACTCGAGATTGAGAAGCCATCATCCTTTTTAAGTCCTCAACTGGATACCCACGATTATTACTTCCTATTGCCCTAGGTTTTCTGTATAGGTAATCCTCATACTCTGCTCCACTTGGACTATTTGGACATTCCTGATATAATGTCATATTCCTTCTAGTAGCTTCAGAATCTGTCACAGACTCTGTAAGTGACCTTTGGTCGTATTTATTATATTTCACTGGTTCAGTGAACTTCCGGCTGCTCCTATGATATTCTTCAGAACCTTGTAAGGGTGCATCATCCTGATATGAACTCAGAAACTCAGTCCTAGGGAAACCAGAAGATGTGCCAGCAAATTCCTTAAGTTGATGGGTGCACATGAAATCCTTGGATCGAGATGATTCCACCATACTATATGCAACATCCTGAGAGTCAAACATGGAGTTATCTTCTTTGTAAGAATCCATATCTTTCACCTTCTTTGAAGGCATAGTTTCTCGATGCCGAAATTTTTCACGCTCATAATGATCCATATCAATGTCTTGTGAGGAAAATGGTAATTGCTCACTAGTTTCTGCAAATTTTAAGCTTGGACCTAGATCATGAGGCAACCGACGTGGACCTCTTACATCGGTTTCTTCCACTGGCAACAATTTCTGGTCCATCATTACATGCCCATCAATACTCAAAACTCTGTTTTCCATATAGTCTTTCTCTTTGGCCAACCTAGATGTACCATGATCATACCTATACACACCCCTTGCACTGGAGTTTGTACGATCATCAAAACCAACAGGCTCAACAAAATCATATTTTCTATTGACGACTCCCTCATCTTCATAATGAGACTTTTTACGCATTTGCACATATAGGGGTGATTTCGATCCTGCTATTTCAGTTCTAAGGCTACCCAAATTCCAACCATACGAATCTCTCCCCACCATGGCTCCGCTTATCCGATCCTTAACCGAACCCCTCTTTCTGGACACACATCAAGGGCATTGGGTCTAAAGTTCCTCAGTCCACGCGGTGGAGGAGACCGATTATTCATCACCTCGCGACGAGAAACCGGATAAGGATCATGAGAACCAGCTTCAGCAGCAGCCCTGTGTTGACTACGCGACTTAACAGTTCGAGATAGTTCAACCTGTTCACCTTTTCTACTAGATTGCATCTTTCCACTTATTAAACACTATTAACTTTCTATGTATTCAGAAACAGAGCAATAGCCCTAATTTCTAGGTCAAGTTTAAGTACCAATTTTGAAAACACTAAAAACCAAGTAAGCTTGGAGAACCCAAAAATAAAAACTCAGAAATCGATTGCAAAAGACGGGTCTAAGAAAAACCCAGAAAGGATTTCCGAATCTTCGAGAGAAATTAAAAGGAGAAAGACCAAACCTTGTATAGACTTGGATTAAAAGAACCCATGGATTGGTCTTAAAGCCTTTGTTGAAAACTTGTCTCAATAAAAATTCTGAAAGCCTTTTCTCTTACCCACAACAGTTACAGATAAAAAAGAGTTCGATCTGATCTGATCTGATGATATTCAGTGTTGAAGATGAGAGACAAACAAGAAAGTAAAGCGGGTTACTTACCGCATGTTATTGGTAAAAGGGTTGGCTTTTCACTTTTTTAGTCCTAAACTTCGTTCGGGTTTCTTTTAAGGGTAAACTACAGATTTGGTAACTAAAGTTTACTTTATCTCCCATCATTTAATGTACTTTAAATTTTATTCACTTTTCATTGAATTTAATATATTAGGTTTTATGGTCAATAATCGTTTTCGCACTAACAGATTATAAATGGAAAATAATTTTTTTTTATTGAAAATTTTATTTTTTATAGTTTTAACATTGTTAACTATCTAACGACGGAGTTACAAAAAAAAATAATGTATTAAGTTTAGTGTGTAGAACTTTTAAAGTTCAACGAGTAAAATAGGAGAGAAATAAAGTTTAATGATGAAATTTGTAATTTACTCTTCTTTTAATGAACACTAGGTTGAACTATTTTTCACTCTCGAATTATGGAACTAAATTCTAAATTAACTCTTAAATATGAAAATATTTTAATTTAAGGTTTAAGGGGTGATTTTGCTTACATAATAAATCTAAATCAATTCTTAAAAAATATATCTAAATTAATTATTTTTATTTTTTAATTATATTAACTTTATTCTTAAATTTGTGTAATTTTATAAATCTTATTCTTTTTAATTGATGTTGATTGTTATTGTATTGATATAATAGTATATTATATTGAAGTGATGCTACATGATACTAACGTAACATTTCATATATGAACGATGGCATGACAAAAGATTTAATTGATTTTTTATAGAGTTTGAAGGTACAATTGATTTTAATTTTAATTTTGAGGGTTTTATTTAATATGCAAATAGAAAAATAAACGTAGATAGTGCTTGTAACACCCCCAACCCGTATCCGACCCGGATACGAGTCCGAAGTGTCACATTGACTTTTTAAACATTTATTCGTATAAAATAGTGGGTAATTTAAAAACTTTGATAACATTTAAATTATTTCAAATCGTTTACAACAGATATCAGAGTTCATACCATTTATATCTTTAGACTACATGCCAACTACACTCTGTAAACAGTACATACATTTTCTGATCTGACATTTGGTAAGGAAAACTGACCTGTCTTGCTCCGCATTACCCTTTCCTCTTCTCGAAACCTACGTGTGAAACAATCACACGCTAAGTCGAAGACTTAGTGAGGCATAACGACTTACAAATGCACTTCATAACATATATCAATACATGCATGTTCTGTTCTATCATGTTATACCAATTCCATGCATTCTTCGTATCATATAAAATCATATCAGATTAATTACAGTAAATACTACAGACACATAATTCATCAAACAGTTTATCATGTAATCACATACTTTTATTGTTAACCTTTTCAATCAAACACTATACACACACAACATCATATGGTTCACGTAACACATTTCAAACCACTTATAACCCCATCGTATACATATCACATTCAGTACGCTTGTTTAATCACTTTATTAGCCCATGTACACTAGTGAGAACTTAAGGTATGTGAGTACATTGAGGTTGTGCACACATATGCTGTCACCACAGCTCGATCAATGTCCCGAAGGACCAGTCCATAGATTCCGAAGAACCTAGGTAATCAGTCCATATGTCCCGAAGGACATAGGTAAACAGTCCGTATGTTCCGAGAACATAGGTAAACAGTCCATGTCCCGAAGAACATAGGTAAACAGTCCATATGTCCCGAAGAACATAGGTAAACCCTCGACCCTTGGCATGCCAACTATACCCCTAGCTCTCATATCACATAACATGGCATTATCATTTATAACAGTTCACATTACTTATTCATATTCTTTCTCTTATAACCACATAGCTTTTCTTTTCAGTCACGTATCACATGTACGTGTAAACATATATCTAATATCATATGTTACATGTAATCACATAGATCTTATCTCATAACATATACTTGTTTTCACATATATATTTCATATCACATGCCATATAAGCTCATAGCTTCTTTCACATATACATGTAGTCACATAGCTTCTTTTCATATTCTCATAGGATCACATAGTTCATATCTTATACTTTGTTTTCTCATGTTCACATATATCATGTCGTATGGCTCATATCTTTCTCATGCAGTCACATAGTTCAGTTTCACATATGTTCATATATATACATTACATATCACATACTTCTCGTAACATTACATTCAAAAGCATGTTAACACATATAATCATGCATACATGCAATTCATGTCATTCATATACGTATAATCATATATTCATGCATTCTAACAGAGGAAATAGACTTGTCGCAAGTCCTGTTTCCATTTAGCACCATAAACTAATTAATATGCACTCACCTGGCCTCACTAGTCAATTCCAATCTCTTATCTTTCCCCTTGATCGATCTTACTTGCCAAACGTTCCGGAATTCTTTATGCGTAGAATCTACATAAATGTACATTTCGAGGTAATCATTAGATACCTACACCTTGTAATTGAATACTAGCAACTTAAACGAACTTATTAAACCAATATTAACATTTTTCTTTAGGGGGAATCGGTTCCCTACCATGGGGGTATCGATTCCCTCAAGATATTCTGGAATTCTGTCGTTTGAAGGGGTATCGGTTCCCCTTGAATGGGTACCGATTCCCCTTGCCCAGAAATCATATTTTCAACCCGAAAATTACTTCATTTCCTCTCAAACACTTCATATATCATCCCCTTTTCATTCTTAACTCTAGTACACATACTTAACCCAATCTATATTCATTTATTTCATCTTAAACCTCAAAATCCTATCTTCCATTTGTAATTCCAAAAATCATATCAAATTTTCTATATGTTCAAAATCAAATTCTATCACTCCAAATCTCTTAATTTAACCATTGACAAGTCAAATTTAACTTCAATTTCTACTTATCAATTCTTTTCCAAAGTTTCATATAAAAACTCCAAATCTTTAATCTCTCTTAACCCCTCCATCATTTGTTTTTAAGATGATTTAAGCTTTCCTTAAGCTTAGTTATCATCTAATAATCAAAACCCAACCTTAAAATCAACAATTCATTTACAAACAAAGAACTTACCTTTTGAAGCTAGCCCCACGTGAAGAAGAGAAAGCAAGAAGAAGAAAGCTTCCAGATAGCTCTCTTCCCACGTGTATATAATTCCTTAAATGATCAAATGACCATTTTACCCTTTATTTCCTTTAACAATTACAAAATAACCTTCATCATATGCATCCAATAATCATAGAACTATTTCATTCTTCTATTTTAGTCATCAAATTATGAAACTTTACGATTTGATCACTAACCCGGTATTGAGGATGTTACAAATCTCCCCTCCTTATAAGAAAATTCGTCCTCGAATTTTCACTGCACATCTTAATAGGAACATATCTTCTAATGTTCTTATGTTGCTTCCCTGACTTACTCTTTCTTGTCATCATCAGAAACTTACTTTTCAATCCCTTAGTTTTTCGACTATCTTTTTCGTTTATACCTTCATCTTCTGTTGTTTATCATATAATCAATAACCAGTAATACCAATCCATTGTTGTCTTTTCTCTCATTCGATTATGCATTTTTCCTTTGACCTTTCTAAAATTCCATATAATGTCACTCATCACGTTGACAATAACATTCATCTCATCACTCTATATCAAAACTGTCCTCTGTACTTCCATATTTATCGTATCTGATTCTTTTAAATCAATCCCTTTCATTTCTTATACTTGTATTTTCCTTCCTGAAGGTTCCATGCAAATACTTATCTCTGTTTCTACATTATAGCTATCTCAGAATATACAATTATATTCAAATTCATATCATAATCAATTAACTCAACTTTATCTTTCCTCCAATCTTATAACTCTAGCACCTTTACTCTGACAGCTAGATAATAACTTTGGTTCAGTCTAGGGCACAAGCCCTCTTATACCAATCATATACATTCTTTCCAATCTAAATTATCTTAACATTCGCTTACTCAACTTATCAATTTCACTTCTATTCTCATACATCCTGAAATTTCTTTTACTCAAACTCAACATTCTGACTTCCTGTGTCCTATAATCTGATCATCGATATACACATTCTCAAACTCTTCTTATCAATCCTCAGCTTTACTTAAATATACAAATTCTTACTTCCTTTTCCTTTACTATACCACATTACTATAATCCAAATATGCAACTATATCCAGATCCATTGCAGATCTGGTTATCATATCCTGACAATATCTTATAATCTTATAATCCAGTACATTTTTATCACATACTCTAGTTAGCCAACGCTAACTCTTTCCATCTAAACTGCAAACCCTTATCATAAACATACTCTTGTTTATGCGCAATACTATCACTTCGTTTCAAACTCATAAACTCTGACTTTATACATCTTATACACTTGTCATTGATGCACTTATCCTTAAGTTCTTCTATACGTACTCATCACATCCTTAGATCTTTTTAACATTCTTATGGTGACACCCGTTCACCATATTCTATCTTATCCACATAATAACTCTATATCGTTTTTCCGATTCCAAACGATGAAAACTTTCTATCATTATTCAGATATGATTTCAGCTTTCTGAAATCAACTTTTGATCTTACTAGGCATTTCCTGAGGTGTCCACTCTTCATCCTGCCTGGCCAGGGCAAGTGAATAGCTATCACAATCAGGAATATCACCTTCCACTTACTTCGAAATTATCACGATCGGATTTCTACTGTATTAAACTATTCTTATTTTATTAGCAAGGCAACGTATTCCTTACACTATCAGATCAGAAATTTTTCAATCTATGTTGGCATGTACACCTTTTATGACATTTTGGACTTCGGTTTATGCCGAGAATCGGCTAAACCTTAGCTCTGATACCATTAAATGTAACACCCCCAACCCGTATCCGACCCGGATACGAGTCCGAAGTGTCACATTGACTTTTTAAACATTTATTCGTATAAAATAGTGGGTAATTTAAAAACTTTGATAACATTTAAATTATTTCAAATCGTTTACAACAGATATCAGAGAGTTCATACCATTTTATATCTTTAGACTACATGCCAACTACACTCTGTAAACAATACATACATTTTCTGATCTGACATTTGGTAAGGAAAACTGACCTGTCTTGCTCCGCATTACCCTTTCCTCTTCTCGAAACCTACGTGTGAAACAAAGTCGAAGACTTAGTGAGGCATAACGACTTACAATGCACTTCATAACATATATCAATACATGCATGTTCTGTTCTATCATGTTATACCAATTCCATGCATTCTTCGTATCATATAAAATCATATCAGATTAATTACAGTAAATACATACAGACACATAATTCATCATTAACAGTTTATCATGTAATCACATACTTTTATTGTTAACCTTTTCAATCAAACACTATACACACACAACATCATATGGTTCACGTAACACATTTCAAACCACTTATAACCCCATCGTATACATATCACATTCAGTATGCTTGTTTAATCACTTTATTAGCCTATGTACACTAGTGAGAACTTAAGGTATGTGAGTACATTGAGGTTGTGCACACATATGCTGTCACCACAGCTCGATCAATGTCCCGAAGGACCAGTCCATAGATTCCGAAGAACCTAGGTAATCAGTCCATATGTCCCGAAGGACATAGGTAAACAGTCCGTATGTTCCGAAGAACATAGGTAAACAGTCCATATGTCCCGAAGAACATAGGTAAACAGTCCATATATCCCGAAGAACATAGGTAAACCCTCGACCCTTGGCATGCCAACTATACCCCTAGCTCTCATATCACATAACATGGGCATTATCATTTATAACAGTTCACATTACTTATTCATATTCTCTCTTATAACCACATAGCTTTTCTTTTCAGTCACGTATCACATGTACGTGTAAACATATATCTAATATCATATGTTACATGTAATCACATAGATCTTATCTCATAACATATACTTGTTTTCACATATATATTTCATATCACATTCCATATAAGCTCATAGCTTCTTTCACATATACATGTAGTCACATATTCATATTCTCATAGGATCACATAGTTCATATCTTATACTTTGTTTTCTCATGTTCACATATATCATGTCGTATGGCTCATATCTTTCTCATGCAGTCACATAGTTCAGTTTCACATATGTTCATATATATACATTACATAGCACATACTTCTCGTAACATTACATTCAAAAGCATGTTAACACATATAATCATGCATACATACAATTCATGTCATTCATATACGTATAATCATATATTCATGCATTCTAACAGAGGAAATAGACTTGTCGCAAGTCCTGTTTCCATTTAGCACCATAAACTAATTAATATGCACTCACCTGGCCTCACTAGTCAATTCCAATCTCTTATCTTTCCCCTTGATCGATCTTACTTGCCAAACGTTCCGGAATTCTTTATGCGTAGAATCTACATAAATGTACATTTCGAGGTAATCATTAGATACCTACACCTTGTAATTGAATACTAGCAACTTAAACGAACTTATTAAACCAATATTAACATTTTTCTTTAGGGGGAATCGGTTCCCTACCATGGGGGTATCGATTCCCTCAAGACATTCTGGAATTCTGTCGTTTGAAGGGGTATCGGTTCCCCTTGAATGGGTACCGATTCCCCTTGCCCAGAAATCATATTTTCAACCCGAAAATTACTTCATTTCCTCTCAAACATTATATCATCCCCTTTTCATTCTTAACTCTAGTACACATACTTAACCCAATCTATATTCATTTATTTCATCTTAAACCTCAAAATCCTATCTTCCATTTGTAATTCCAAAAATCATATCAAATTTTCTATATGTTCAAAATCAAATTCTATCACTCCAAATCTCTTAATTTAACCATTGACAAGTCAAATTTAACTTCAATTTCTACTTATCAATTCTTTTCCAAAGTTTCATATAAAAACTCCAAATCTTTAATCTCTCTTAACCCCTCCATCAATTGTTTTTAAGATGATTTAAGCTTTCCTTAAGCTTAGTTATCATCTAATAATCAAAACCCAACCTTAAAATCAACAATTCATTTACAAACAAAGAACTTACCTTTTGAAGCTAGCCCCACGTGAAGAAGAGAAAGCAAGAAGAAGAAAGCTTCCAGATAGCTCTCTTCCCACGTGTATAATTCCTTAAATGATCAAATGACCATTTTACCCTTTATTTCCTTTAACAATTACAAAATAACCTTCATCATATGCATCCAATAATCATAGAACTATTTCATTCTTCTATTTTAGTCATCAAATTATGAAACTTTACGATTTGATCACTAACCCGGTATTGAGGATGTTACAGTGCTTGCTCAACCGATAAAGGTTTCTCGACTATAAGTATTTTTGTTTGAGATTGTGATGAATTTGCATGATTATAGGGGGAATTTTAGCCCAATAATCTAGGAGGGTGGATTATTTGGCTCAATAGGGTATCAGGATATTTATTTTGGGATCTACGACAAATGCTACAGTGCCCATGAAACTCGTTATGTCGACGTGACGAGTTTCATGGGATATATATTTTTAATGGGTCATATCACGTGGGTCCCACAACCCGAATTTATTTAATATATCTTAAGAGATTCGTCACGCGGGCATGGCGAGTCTCAATAAAAAAATATTTTTTTTGAAAATTTTAAAAGCATTGAAAAAATATATTATTTAATGCAGAAAGAATTCGTCACGCTAGTGTGACAAGTTCCAACGAATATAATTTTGAATTTGTTGATCGTTGTTGAACGGTCAAAGTTTTTTTTTAAAAAAAATCAGCGGTGTGACGAGTTCCAATTGCTATTTTCAATTTGAAAAAACTAGTCATTTATAGTCGTTGGGTAGTGTAGTATAAATAAAGGTTTGGGTTGGATTGATTTTTCACTTGGAATCAAACATTCTATTGAGAGTAAAAAACTTTTGTGTTGAAATGGCCTCAATAGAAGAAATGTTATGTCTGGATGATGTTCATATTTCGTCGACTGAGTTAACTACGATAAATTTTAATTTGTTTTCTTTCATTTTAGTTTTAACAAAATTATAGTATTAATAATAATTATTTATGTAAGTGTATTAAATAATTTATTTTCAAATTGTAGCGAGAAGAATGAGTCATTCGTCATCGTGACGAATGCCGAATGAAGAGTCACATAAGCGAATGATGACATATCTTTCACAATTCGGATTATATGGAGCGACGTTTCTTTGCGGATTTAAGGTGATATCGGCACTGATATCGACATTGATTGAGCGTTGGAGGCCCGAAACGCATATGTTTCATTTTTCTTGTGGTGAAGTGACGATAACATTGGATGATGTCGCTTATCAACTTGGCGTTCCGATTAATGGTATGTCATTGGTGCTTCGCGACACTTATTCGCTAAATGTTGTTATTTCAAATTTATTGGGAAATGAGGCTCCAGCCGATGTCATTGATGGGTTGTGGATACGGATGACGTGGTTGGAAAGAGAATTTAGAGTAGATGAACAATCAATGGAGCAAGAGGTGATATACAACTCGAGCATATCTTATGACGTTAATTGGAGGGATCTTGCTACGGGATAAATTGGGCAATTTGGTGCACACCCAATATCTCCAGTAATTGAGGATTTCGCTGTATGTCACCAATATAGTTGGGGTTCTGCAATTTTGACTTTTTTGTATCGTGAACTCTACAAGGCAACCATAGTCATTAGAGGAAAAAAAGAGGATGTAGCGGGTTGTTTAGTTTTTCTCCAATCATGGGTGTGGTATTGTATCTCGTTTATGACACCTATTACATTCGCTCCTATGGAGTTTCCTCTCGCGGAAGGTAAATTCATATATTTAAAGTTTTTGATATTTTATAATATTTATTTAAATATTTTGGAAATGGCAATAAATAATGTAATTTTTTTAGATGAGGAAACCAAATAACCGATACAAAGTTGTCAGGTGCAACCAAAGTAGATATTCGGATAATGATTGATATCACCAGTAAACATGCGGTAAATTTTAATATTTTTTGCATTAACTTTGAAATTGTAATATTAATTGTTTAATTATACTAACATAATGCTTTTGACAGTTTAATTGAATGTCTTATTATGAGTCGGATATCCAACGGTGTCTATCGCCAATGTTCTTTGAAGGAGCGGAGACATGGTGTATCGTAACAACATTGCTCCATTTTTCCATTGTTGAGATCCATGTCGCCGATAGAGTTTTGCGACAATTTGGGTTTCACCAACCGATAGAAATGTACATATTTAACATTGACGATTTGCATAAAATAGATGCGCATGGTAAGCATAGTGAAGATTGACCGAGGAAGCATGCTATATTCATACATCAATAGCAAAATAGACATTTACGATTGCCTAATCGTTCCAAGGTACAACCCAAAGATTTTGATTTCAATGTTTCTCCTTACCTCTAAAATTATGAAGCAAATGGGAAATCATACTTGACAACGCCAGAGGAGCGATCCGAGTGGGAAATAATGAAGGCAAAATATGGAAAAAAATCATCATCTTCATCTTATGCTTTCTCCAATTATTATCCATCGTAAGAAAGTTATGGTGGATATAGTGCATATCAACCATTGACGGAGAGTCGAACAACGTGGAAAGGAAGTAGGTGGGATCAAGTGCCACATTCACAATAATTTTCCTCAGAATCGGAAGAAAAATGTCCATTGGATCATCTTCTTAAATACAAACAATCTCAATTTGAGGCGATGACGTCAATGATGGCGTCAAATACCTTGAATACTCCATCGTTTTCACCCGAAGATGTAAATCAAAGTGGTGGAGTAATGTTCAGTACACTGGAATTGGAAGAAGACGAAAATGACGAAGGTGAACGATCAGGACGAAATCGACAAGCATCACGTCATTACTATTCTACCACTCCTCGACATCGGCAAGAATTACGTAAATATAAGTAATAAATTTGTTTATTTAAGTTTTTGTACTCGATATTTAATTGTATAAAAAATCATTGATAAGTAATAAATTTGTTTATTCGTTTTCTCCCTTAAAATATTTAAAATTTGACAATATTTTAGTTTTAATTAAAAGAACTTTAAGAAATATGTAAACAAATAAAATATGTAAACAAAAATGAAAATTTTTTAATTTAAAAATAACTTTTAATTAAAATAAAATTTAATTAAAAAATTTCATTCATAATTAGTGTAGTTTATAAAAGTACAAGGAGTATCGGTACTCCTTTTATTGGTATCGGTTCTTTCTTTATTATTTTTAAATAAAACTAGCCGTTGGGGCTGACGATATCGATATTGTGATGATGGTATCAATACTACTATGTAAAGTAGTATCGGTACCCCTTTGGGTATCAGTATCTATTTTGTATTATGGAATTTGAGCAATCTGATAGTATCTCTCTTACTTAGGGTATAGGTACCACATGGACAATATCGGTATTGTTCATATAATATTGATACTATAAGAACAATATCGGCACTTCATACGTGAAAATAAGTTTTGTGCTCAAATTCACTTTAAATGGACTTTGAATTATTTTTGAAAACTTTTAACAAATTCAATTAAGTCCAAAAATAAATTTTGAAGACTTTGAACAAATTCAATTAAGTCCAAAAATATTTTTCCTTAATTTGTTATATCAAAATATTACAAAACATGGTTCCACAAAATACAAGTTAAAAAACATAGTTAAAAAAACACAGTTACAGTATAAAAAAATACATAGTTACAGTACATAATATTTTGTAACGCCTATTTTAGTGTCCAACTTGATATTTTGGAAGATGTGGACAATGTTTTCTGTTATGACCTTTACCTCTGCAGTGGCCACAAAGTTTAGGTAGATCTGGCTCTTTTTACGGATCATCCATAATGATATGAATTCAGATAGATTCAGGTCGACCCCGTAACTTTCTACGCAATTGAGGATTTGGCAACCATTCCTCAGAAATTGTGCATGTAGGCCAGTATGCTTCATTTGGGAGGTAATCGAACTCACAATTGTAAATGTTGTGCATAGTGTGCAAGCTATAATAGTCATCAGCATATACGTTTGGGTTATTGATGTGCATACATGTAGCAACAATGTGAGCACATGTAGCAACAATGTGAGCGCATGAGAACCTAAAAGCTAGAAATCAACCACAATCACACCATCTTCTATTCAGATTACCAGTGTATGTTGTAGAATTACCTCCCTCATGTGGTGGAACTAGTGTTTGGACAAAGAAATCAGAATCAAGTATGGCAAAATTATGGACAAACATTGATGTCACATGTGTTTGATTCTTTTGCATTGCCTGCTCCAAATCTGGAGCCCAATTTCTCCCATCGTTGATCATGACATCAATTTGTGCACTTTTGTTTGTCCATACTTTACCCAACCTAAAGTAAGTCTCCCTAGCAATATTTGCTATCAGGATATGTCGAGTCCCTTTCAGCACTGAGTTGATACATTCAGCAAGGTTGGTAGTCATATTGTCATAATGTCAACCCTCAACATCATATGCTTGTGACCATCTCTCCATAGGGATTTTAGCTGCGAATTCATACACATCATCTCCTTATCTTCTCAAATTTTCAAGCCATGAAATGAGATAATACTTACCCATATTGGTAATCTCCTTTTTGATCTTTTTCTACTTAAACCTCTACATTGCATTCAACGCAATATGACGTATACAATAGGCAGGATATGTGTGCGGAGGTGTCCATCTATTTTCAGTTCTAAAAATTGTGCTTAACAACCCAAGCGATTGATCTGAGATCATTTAAACCCAATCTTGAGTGATAACATGGGAACACAAGTTGGAGAGAAAGAAATTCCAAGTTTCCTCCGATTCATTTTTAAAAATGGCAAAGGTAATGGGGAAAATATTTTTGTCTCCATCTTTGTAACGACTATCACCAAGACGTGTCTGTAGAGCCCATACAGAAAAGTGCCATCGACTTGAATCACTTGTTTGCAAAAGCTAAACCCTTCGATAGCTGACTTAAGTTCCCAGAACAAGCCACAAAAAATTCTCTTCCTAGGGATAACATCTCCTTCAAGCGTGACTGCAGGTTGAGTATAGTACCTAACAATGGTTCCCATGATGAAAAATTCCATTGCCTATAGCAGTCGTGGTAGCTCATTATATGACTTATCCCAATCACCATACAATAAGGTCATTATTTTATATTTAGCTATCCATGCCTTATAATAAGTCAGAATATAACCAAATGTATTTCGAATGGATGCCACTAACACAGAAACGAGCACTCTTGAATTTTTTCCACCAACAACTTCACATAAGAGCATATGGCATCCGAATCTAAATGTTTGTGGTCTTGTGTCAAGGAGGTCATTGTACATGTGTGTTGTGCATTGAACCTTGTAACTTCCCACAACATCTTCCGTTGTAGGTATGATATTTGTATCGTCTATTTACAGCCAACATCATGGTGTATACACCGTATAAAATAAGTATTTTGATCCGACTCCGCCACATATAATTGAAGATGAGCTTTGATGGAATACTCCTTGATTGCTAATTATGCCTCTTTTTTTGTTTCAAATTGAGACCCAATGGTCAACTCAGATGACCACTCATCTGAAGAACCACAGTGGGCATCACATAACTCTGGCATATCATATATTTTAGGATTCCGCATAGCATCGTAGTTAATGTCATGCATTGCAACTGCATGATGATATCGAGGCAAATCATGGCGAGGCATTTCAGGTTGAGGATATGTTTTTACCTAAACATTTTGAGCATTCGGGAATCCTTGACATCTTTAAAGAGTTGCCTCCTATACATCAGCCTCAACATCCACACCTTGTCCCTCTAAAGCAATCTCAAAAACATCAGACTCATCAACTAATGGTGTGTCATGATCGTCTACCAACATAACAATATCTTCAACATCTTCGTTAAATTCAACAAGACTTTCACCGAACCGTCCAACAAGGTTATCATCACCATCACTTGCATGTGGTTCAGACGGGCCTGCTTATTATATTCTTCGAGCTGGTATTGATGAGGTTGTAATATAAGTTATATTTGTGGTTTCGATGTACATCTCCACCATATTATTATTTGATGATTGATGAAGTCCAACCATAACAGCAACATCGTCACCATCATCAAGTTGAATTTTTCCATATATAACTGGATTTGAGGAGATCAGGTGCCAATAACTTAAATATGAAACATAAGCCCCAAATTTTCTCTCAATTTTTTGCTTCATTTGGCGATGAGATGCATCCATAGGGAACATCACATTGATGGGTCTGTGTGACTTAAACACAACACCAACATTAGTTTGTAGAATTTCGCTATTATAATGGACAACTGTGAAGAATTTGTTGCTCATTATTTGAAATGTATTTGGTTAGAAGAAAGAAGTTTGTTGTATAAGAGATTGAAGATGAAAGGAGTGTGTTGTGTGTGTAAGAGATGAAATGAGTGTGTTATGTATGTTAAATTTTTAGCCGTTGAAACTCGTCACACCGGTGTGACGAGTTCCTTTGAATTTTTTTTAAAAAATTGCCCGTCCAACAACGGTTAATCCAACAGTCAACAAATCCAAAATTATACTTGTTGGAACTCGTCACACCGGCGTGACGAGTTCCTTCATCAATAAAATAATATTTTTTACAATGCTATTAAAAATTAAAAAAAAATTATCGAGACTCGTCACGCGGGTATGACGAGTCCCTTAAGATATATTAAATAAATTTGGGTTGTGAGACCCCCGTGTCACAACCCAATAAAAAATATATCCCATGGAATTTGTCACGTCGGCATGACGAATTCCATGGGCACTATAACATTTGTCTTAGATCCAAAAATAAATTTCTTGTTGCCCTATTGGACCAAATAATCCACTCGCCTGGATTATTTGCCCAATTTCACCGTTATAGGGCCTAATTATTTTTAATATTTGTTATTAAAGATTTAATTTTTTTCTAATATTTATTATTACATGTTCAAAAATTTTAATAACTATTATTAAGGTCTACTCTTATAACTTATTTTTCTAATATTTGTATAAGTATTCAATTTGTTGTCAATATTTTTCTAACATTTTTTATTGTTTCTTAATACTTATTATTAGGATCCAATTTTTCAATATTTATTATTAAGGGCATATTTTTTATTATGAGTCCAATTTTTTTCAGTATTTTTTATTAGAGGACCAATGTTTTTTTCAAAATTTGTTATTACAAGCATACTCTTAAATTCTATTTTTTTAATATTTTTTATTAGGGACATTTTTTTCAATACTTTTTATTATGGAGTTGTCCTTCAAATTTATTTTTCAACACTTTTTATTAGGAACAATTGCTTAAATAACTATCTGTAACCACAACAATGATCGTTATGCAGTGGTAACGACATCGTCCATAATTGCTATATCCACAATAACACATTATTAAAAATTCACAATCACGATACTTGTAATAACTGTAATATCATTCGTTATGTTTGCAATAGCAATAAATGCAACGTGGTTGAAAATACAAATGCAAATTGTAATTTAAATCCCTTATTAGGGTCTAAATCCCCCCCAAAGACCACCAAAAAATTGCTATATCCACAATAACATATTATTAAAAATTCACAATCACGATACTTGTAATAACAGTAATATCATTCGTTATGTTTGCAATAGCAATAAATGCAGCGTGGTTGAAAATACAAATGCAAATTATAATTTAAATCCCTTATTAGGGTCTAAATTCCCCCACCCCCCTAAAGACCACCAAAATCTTAGAAACGAGCTTGTGCATGATAGGTAAAATGGAATTTGTACATGTGATTATTGAGAGTGATTGTTTAAACGTGGTGTGCACGAATCAAGAGACCTCGGTGGCAAAAGAACTCGAAAGAATTATTGTTATTCCTTTAGGTACCATGTTCAAGCACCTGGAATGTTAGAGGTGTGAGTGTTCAATGTTAAATGGTAGATAATCATTTATAAACATATATTGCCTTATAATTACCCATATTAATAAAAAAAAAACAAAAGAAAAACTCATGTTGTTGCCTGGTTTGTTCATTGCCAAGCGAATGGTGCTGCCGATTTGCTAGTGTCTCATGTTTCCAACTCTATTATGCCTCTTTATTTCAATTATGCTCATCCTGATTGTATTTCGGATGTCATTGTAACCGAGACTATTTTCAGTTAATTAATGTATGGTTAAAGTTAAAAAATAGAAGGGGAAAAAAGAATTTAAGAAATTATCAAAATTTAAAATTTCTAAACTATTCAAAACAAATATTAAAATAAAAATACTATTAAAATTTAAGAAATAAAAAATAAAAAATAATTAATCCTTAATTCTTAAAAATTTAAATATTTATAAAATTCATTGGAAATTTTTTTCAATTTTTCCTCTGCGGTCTTAATTTACAAATTACAACTATTCTTTGCATATATCTTTAGTGGAATCAATCTTAAATTAGAGTAATAATATTTATCATGTTTAATTGTGTGATCTCGGAACTATTTCTCTGTTTGTTGATACCTTCAAACTGTCATTAAAATTAGTAAGACAACTTCTTACTTTAATTATTTATTTATTATGAGAATCAATATTATATATTTTTAAATATATGCTTTTACACATGTCAAAAAAATATTGTACCACTATGCTTCCTGATCCGTACAGTTAGTCAAAAAAAATATTGGACGACTTGATTGATATAATTTCTAACTAGAGGTTTGGAAATATACATTATATAAAATAAAGTAAATAGTTTGAAATGTATTTTGGGGTATAGTTGAGAGACAAGTACTTTTTTTATATAACCATCAGTATCTGATCTATTGATCGATTAATCCAGATCGGGTACTGCAGAGGCAAGGACGACCCTTTCAACCCAGTTTGCTCCATTCACAATCGTAAGGATTTGAACCCACTGACCTTGTTTAAGGGATCTAGTATCTAATCTCACTAAACCAACTGATTGTTAGTAAATACAAGTACTTTAAACATGTAAATCTATATAAAAAAATTATTTTTGTACCTACATTTGTAAAAATATAAAATACTTTAAACACATAATACCACATGAAAATACATGAATGTGGCATATTGATTGCAAGGTATGACATAATCTTAAGCATCTTTGATGTGAAAGTGAAATGCATTCCAAGGGTGGCAGCTCTCACCATTTTTACATGAATTTTAAACCACATTTATCACTTTCTAAATCTTACAATTTAATCAATTACAATATTATTACAAACAAATCATTTCATCGTTAATATTGAAACAAACGCCTAATATGACTAGCATAATAATAATTTTAATCCTTAAAACTTATACATTCTTAAAACTTATACATTCTATCAATTTGGTCATGAATCGAAACAATTCAATCAATTTAATCTTTCGTATTTAAAAATCCTATCAATTTAATCATCTTTTGTAATACTATCAAACTGAGTTTATCATATCAAAACAATAGTTAGATAAATGCATTCTACTATATAACAAGTTACTATTAAATTATTATCGTACCAGGAAAGATAACATTCCTCAGAGTATAACAAACAATTTAGGAGAAGATTGAAGGCTAAATTGAAAGGATTAAGCTTATTAAAATTTTGGAATTAGGACCAAATTGGTAGAATGTACAAGTTATTGTTATTATACCATGACACATCCTATCTCTTCTAATATTTAGCAGTGAGAATGCATACAATGAGGTCATACTTTAGATAGAGCATAATATCACTACTAAGACCAAAGAAACTTGAAACAACCAATACCAAACTAACAGTGATTCATAATTGATTCTTAATCTTAAACAAGGATAACCAAACCGAACTAACAAGTCCTACGTGGTTTTAGCTCTTAAACAAGGATAATGAGCAAGCACTTTGACATACTTGAGTATTAAAACAAACTTGGAAAAAAAGAACACCATGCAAGGTTTCATATGTTGTCAGTTCTTCTGCATGTAATGACAGCCACAAGAAAACTATAATCTGCATCCCTAAAACAAGCTATAAACAAGTAAAGAGGAAGTGCATGGATTGTATTACATGAAGAGACAAAGATAAGAAAGATTCCTAACCTCTTTTTCTTGTGTACAGCATACAAGTATGCGACCTAGACGTCAATAAAAATAACCCCGACATTTCTGTGATCCACATAAGCATTTCTTTCTTCCATACGTGTTGTTGTTACTTTCGGTCTCATTTGAATGTGGAGTGCCATAATCATATGTCAACTCCGTCATAGGAGGTATGTGTTTCTTTGCAAAGAAACCGATATGGAGACATGCTTCATTGTTATGCTCATACATGATTGGCTGCCAAAAAATATTTGGAGTGCAACTATGATTCATAAATCGAGCTACATTTCCAATGTTTTTTGCACTTATTGATAGGGGATATGGACTATCAAAATCTTCAGGGGCGTCTGAACTTTCCTCTCCTACTAACTCAGGTTCATAATTCCACTTGAAGGATTCGTAGCGTCGGTTTGAATAAAAAATGTAGTCATCAATTCCCCCATATCCACCTGCTTGGCTTACTTTATTGTCAATAACTTCACCTGCATATTCACAAATAAATGAACCTGCACGAATAGGATCCCGTGACCGCAGACCCCAACCCCTACCTCTTGTCTTAAAAACTTCCAAGTGAAATTTCAAAGCAGTCTGTGAAACTCTATTTTTGCAGTTCCGACCGCATGGACAGGAGGGACTACATTCATATATTAAGGGTTTTCGACACACTAGAACACCATTGGTAGTGTAAGGGAAGTCACCTCCATTTTTTTGAATGCAGGAGCAGTTAGCATTTCCTGGTTGGCAAGTTTCACTGCAATCACAGCGCAGAGTAGATTGCACAGAGTCGAATGATTTCAAATACTTGACAGTAGGAAAATATGTGAAGTAAACAGGTCCATTGTCATCATCAACCTCATTTACAAGTGAAACAGGTATGCTCTCTGCACCTGAAGTTAGGTCAGAAAGAATAAGTCCGACCCTTGAAGATACGCCTTCTTTCCTCCTCTGAATTGATTTCCAAGTTGAAAAAGCACCAGTTTGCCCAGGGATCCTGGCAAGTTTATACTTGAACATATTGCAACCTGATTTTCCCTTCTCCATCCATGACTCTTGGATCTTGTAAAGCCCATCATATACATAGACCTTGGACGATTGATTGATAGTATCCTTGAGACCCCGAATGACTCTTATTTCATTGCCTCTGTGCAAGCTCTTTTCCAAAGCAAGATTTCCCCTCTCAAGCTTCTGATCAGATGCTTCTTTATCTCTACCAGCAGACCCACCTTGACCACTATATATCAAAATATCTGGATCTTCAGCATCATTATCATACCCTCCGGATGAGACAATGCTTAAAGCCACTAGTTCTCCCTCTAAATCACCCTTCATATAGTCAATTCCAGCCATAGACTGAGAATGTAATCCCACCAAACACAACTCGAATCGGAAGAAGAAAATGTCCCCAATTTCAACACCAGGGACAGCACCGATTCTCTTTTTCATGTTAGTCCGCACCCCTTTGCTCATCATTGTGTTGCCAGCTTTCAAATCTGCACGCTTAATAACACCAGAAGGCAATTCCATTGTGTCTTCTATTTGGCTAAGCTTTCTCCTAAGAGCATCAAACCTCAAAAGCACATTTTCAACCAGTTCCCTATTACCATCATCTCGATCAGATAAACTAATTCCAGGATCGTATTTACCGGTAGCAGCGAAAGATAGCTTTGAACCTCTGTCCATCCTTTTCTTCTTCTTAACAGAACTTGATCCGGCTGATTTTCGCTGGTGACTTCCGTGTGTGTCCATTGGAGATAAATTTTCTGTCCTGAAGGACCTAATTGGCATGGCGTTTGAATTGATGCCATTCCGGCTAAGGTCGGGTGCAGATTCGGACCCCGATGGTAAACTAAATGGGAAAAAGGGAGAAAACCCGGCAGGGAAAGGACCATTAGGAGGAACACAAACAAAAGGATGACCCTCAGAGGAGTCTGGGAATTGAGGAACCAACATACGTAGCGGTTTTACATTCAAAACTTTCAATTTATCATTTGAATTTGGTAGAACAGTGTTTCCACTTAATCCTCCTTCCATTACAAACAAGAAATCAGTGAACAAAACCCAAAACCCAGTTAAAAAGCTTCAATATCCAACCAATCCTTTCATCCTCAAAACCCAAAAATACCCATTTCAATTGTCCCGTCCTTGACTTGCTAATGCACAAAATCAATGCCCTGTTTGGAAAAATTACACACGCAAATCAAGCTCTTTGGACAAAAAGGTGTCTTTTTCTCGTTTTAAAATCAAAACCAAGAGTACATATTGATTCTGTTATGCAAAAACAGTATCATAAATAGAAGAAATAACCATTAACAAGAACAAACAAGAGAAAACAGAGACAAAAGGATCTATGGTTTTAAAATTACGTTACCAGTTTGGGGTTCGCCCAAGGGCTTCAAAGTGAAGAGAGGAGTCGCAGATTAACTTCAGAAAGGACCGAGCTGTGTTGAAAGAACCTTTCGATTTTTGTTCCTGTAATTATTTTTGTGTTAAATTATATTATTGATCACTTAACTATTTAATTATTACCAATCAATCACTAATATCAACAGTTGATGGATCAATCACTAATATCAACAGTTGATGAAAATATTGATGTAGTAGTTTAAAAAATTAACATAATTATACATTTAGTCTTTATATTCATATATTATATCAATTTGATCATAATTTAAATTTAATTTAATAAATTAATCATTTAATTAAGATTTGACATGTGTCAGCACATAATCATGACACGTGCTGTTAATGACACACGTTTTATCATTTAATTTAAAGATTTTATTTATTTATTTATTTAATTAAATAAATATTATAATCAATCAAATGATAACACATGTCATCATTTGGTTAGATGAAAATTAAGTTACACAAAAAGTATGAAAAGGTTTGGGGGATTTGAATCTAAAGCACAAGGATGAAGGCCACATGTCAAAGTCACTGAGGTAGCCTCACCATTTGTGTTAAGGAATACACAATATATATATATATATATATATATATATATACATACATATTCGAACATAGAACAAGTAAAAACTTTGAAAACACTAAATTATTCAAAAAAACAAATCTTAAACTATAGCATTAACTATCCAATTATAGTTCCTTTTTATTTTGACAACCATTTTTTAATTCTTGTCAATTAAGTCACCCAATTATTTAAATGCATTCAATCAGATCACTGGTCGTTAACAGTTAACGAAAGCAATGATGTGGTAGTTAAAAAACTTAATATAATCATATATTTGGTCACTGTTATTTATATATTCTATCAATTTAGTCATATTTTTAATAAATTTAAATAAATTTGACATTCGAATCAGATCGTGCCATGTGTTAAGAAAATTTAAGAGGTTAAATTTGAGGAGTGTAGGATTCAAACTTGGAATCCATGGGAGTTAAAGCACCCACTCAACCACTAGGACAAGCATATTATTATGCTTAAAATAGACTACATATGGTATATATGTTATGTACTAGTATAAACTTAATTTCTTAGTAAGAATTATTTTTATCTTAATTTAAAATAAATTATATTTAAGTTAAAAGTAAGAATAAATTATATTAAAATAAACTACATATGTTTAAAAATGTTTAAAATAGATTTATTTTTATCTTGATTTTAAAATATTATAAGAATAAAATATAAATATTTAAGTTAAAAGTAAGAATAAATTAAATTTTTAAGTTAAATTAAAATTAAGATAAAAATAAAATATATTTTATTTAAGTTAAATTAAAATTAAGATAAATTAAAATACATATCTTTAATGTTAATATGTTAATTTAAATTAATATGTGAATTTAAGTTAAGATGTAATATAAAATACTAAGAATTTAAGTTTAGACTAATATTTAACATATATACCATATGTAGTCTATTTTAAGCATAAACGTTTGTTTGACCCAGTGGTTGAGTCATGGTTCCTAAGTTTGAATCCCACACTTCTGAAATATATAACGCTTTCAATTTTTTCCACCTCTGATTGGTGAAATATAAATCTATTAAATTAAATCCTTTAATCAGGTGATGACATGTGTCTTAACACATGGCATCAATGACACATGGCATGATTCGATTCGAAGGTCAAATTTATTTGAATTTATCAAAATTAGGAATATATTGATACAATATATAAGTAATAATGACCAATGTGTAATTATACCAAGTTTTTTAACTGCCACGTCATTACTTCCATTATCTGTTAACTACCAGTTGCCTGATTGAATACATTTAAATAGTTGGGTGGCCTGATTGACAACATTCAAAAATGGTGGTAAAAAATGAAAAGGATCTATAGTTGGGTGGTTAAATATACATTTATATAAATATATTTGTATTCATATATTGAAATATATTTATTAAAATATAAATATATTTTATTTATTAGTTTATAAAAAATAAAATATATAAAAATATAAATAATTCGTACATTTAGATATTAATTGAATCATTTATATTTTCTACACATTCTATATTTAATATAAAAATAAAATCACTAATCAATTTAAAAATACTTAATTTAAAATTATATATATATATAATCATTAAGTTTTGAGGGTCGCATTAATTCTAGTATAAATATGTATGTATGTATTTTTAACACAAATGGTGAGGCTAGTTTAGTGTCTTTGACATGTGCCCTTCACCCTTGTGACCCAATTTTAAAAAGCTTTTCAAACCCTTCAATTTATACTTTCTTTGTAACTTAATTATCTTCAAACTGATTGGTAACACGTGTCAACATTTGATTGTATAAAAAATTATTTTAAAAAAAATAAAATTAATAAATAAATTTTTCAAATAAGGTGGTGACACGTGTAACTAACGACGCGTGTCATGATCATATGCTGAAACATGTCAGATCTCGATTGAATGATTAATTTATTAAATTAAATTTAAATTAGGACCAAACTGATAAAATATATAAATATTAAGGACTAAATGTATAATTATGTCAATTTTATAACTGTCATATCAACATTTTCGTCAATTGTTAATGGTTAGTGGCTTGATTGATAATAATTAAATAGTTAAGTAGTGTGATTGATAAAATTGCAAGATCAATGATGAAAATAAAAAGAAAATTAAGTAATTAAGTGATCAATGGTATAATTTATCCTTATGTTTGGGAGTGTTTTGCTAACACTCGACAAATTTTTGTTTAAATTAGGGATCATATTAATTATGAGAATCAATCTAATATAATAAATAAAAGATTATACTTAGATATAATTTTAGGATAAATTATATATATTTAGTCACTCATATATCATTTTAATTTGATTTTAATTCGATTTTGGTCATCAAATTATTTTTTTAAAATCATATTTAAAAGTTACGTTTTTATTATCTACCTTTAAAAATTAAACAAAATTGATGACAAGATAATTTTTTTAATATTTAACATTATCTTATGAAGATATATCAACATTACTATTAATTTTTTGACATGAAAAATAAAAACTTTATAAAACTAATAAAAATAATCTAAAAAAAACTAGTTAAATTAATTCCAATCTATATCCTGTAAATTCTTCCTATAGATATTTCAAAGAATACAAAAACTTTTTAATTATTACTGAATAGTAAATTAATTTATTATCATCATACGTCTAAATTATATTTTCATACATAATTTATAAAATCGTGCGTTGTGTGAAGTTATTAGTAAAAAGATTACACAAATTTATGATATTAAAAAAATAAGAGTTAATTTTATCATATGTCCTCAAACTATGACCCTCATTTCAAATTAATACCTGAACTTTTAAATATTTCAATTTAATCCCTAAACTATGACTCTCATTCTAAATTAGTCCTTAAATTTTTTAACATTCTAATTTCATACTCAAACTATGACTCTTATTCTAAATTGGTCACCAAACTTTTGAATCTTCCAATTTTGTCCATAAATTCATCCAAATATGAAATTAGTTTAAAAAATAGTTTAACATACATTTTATTTTTATCAAACATATAATAATATAACATGGACTAACGATTTTATTAACAAGAGGTGTGATTAGTATATAAATATAATTTGTGATGAAATTAAAATGTTCAAAAAAGTTTGGGGGACCAATTTAGCATGAATATCATAGTTTAGGATGAAATTGGAATGTCAAAAGTTTGAGGACTAATCTAGAATGATAGTCATAGTTTAAAGATGAAATTGAAATGTTTAAAAGTTAAGGGACCAATTTAGAATAAAAATCATACTTAAAAGACATATGATGCAATTAACTCAAAAAATAATTATTATAAAACTCGTGACCTCAGTAATTAATTAAAGTATAATTCTTCTTAGAGATCATAAGTTCAAGCAGTTGTATCTAGAGATGGGCATGGGTCGGATCGAGTCGGATTTCTGACCACTCTAACCCGATTAGTATACTCCTTCACCAGATACCCGAACCTGGTTTTGAGAAGGCTACATCCGACCCGAACCTGAACCGATTATTTAGAGTAGAAACCCAACCCGACATTCAAAATCTTCTCTAAATCATACAAAACCCAGAAATTGGGTTTAATTCAAAATTATAAGAATAAACAAAAAAATATAATAATAAACGAAAAAAGCTAACAGATTCTAAATCAGGGAAAACCCATTACGATATTTATCAATGTTGATTAGAAACCAAAAAAATGAATTTTACAAAAGAAAAGTACCTTATTTTCAAATCCTTGACTTTACAGTGAAAGTAAACAATTTGATTTGTAGTTATCATTTTTTACTCAATCAGTCTATTTGAAATAAGACTCTTGTATCTAAGTTTTAAATTTTTATATTCAATGAAAAAAATAGTTTAAAAAAAGAAGAAAGAAGAAAAAAGAAGGATGAAAAGATGAAATAAAGGAGAAGAGTAAAATTTTAGATTCAGTGAAAGAATTAGTTTAAAAATAGAAGAAAGAAAAGAAAAAAGAAGATTATAGACAAGCGACAGCAACAAGAATGAAGTGAAATGGAAATGGAAATGGAAATGGAAATGGAAATATATAATGACATTTTTGTAAATATATATATATATATATATATATATATATATATATATCGGGTCCTTTGGGTAGGATGTTTTTAATGTATAATCTGAACCTGATCCGAGCCCGAATTTTGAAATAAAAAATCTAAATTTATAGAGTCGAGCCGGAACTCATTGGATTCAAGTTTCATACCCATCCCTAGTTGCATCTATAGGTAGAAAGATTTTGAATATATATTACCTTGTAATCACCTAGATTATTCAAAAAATTTATTGTTATTTTTTTAATTATATGAGTATTTATACATTTATTTATATAAATAATTATTCAAAATAAGGATAACTATTATACATTTTTAATTATATGAATAGCTATATATCCATGCACGATTTTCTTTAATAAAATGTCGCAGGCTATTTTTAACCATATACATTTTTAATACATAATATTTTAATAGTAAAAAGTATATAATA